CTTTACAGTTGTTCAGCTGCTTAAGTCTTTAACCGTTGTGTGATGTGATCAGATTACTTTATCATATTGGAAACCAGAAATTACTTGGGAGCAACAATAGCCAAAATAATATCACCCTAAATAACCATAGCATGTATCTTGGGAGAGGGCTTTATCAAGTAGTTGACACATATGTCTGTATTTCATGGTATTCCAGTGATATGAGTATTTTTCTCATTGATGAGGAAAACAGAGGTTCAGAAATGTTATATAACTTTTTCAGAGTCACATTACAGATATGCGATAAGGCGAAGTCTCCAACTGTTGTCTTACGTGGCTTATTATGGCACAGAAGTTAGTTCCTGTCCTGGGGACACCAGCAAAGAATACTCTGAGTGGGAGGGTTAATCATGGATAGGCTTACAACAAGGGGTATGTGGGGAAGGAACATGCAGAGAAAGGTTTCAAAGCAATGCTCAACAGTGCTTGGTGACTGATGACAAATGATAAAAGAGAGAAAATTCAAGGATGATTGATGTGTAGGGATTTGCACCTAGAAAGCTGGAAGAATGATGGCACTTCTAAGAAGTGTGATAGCTGGCAAGGGAACCTAGATTGTCAGAGAAAATAATTCTACTTTAGATATGTGAGGTTTGCAAAAGAGTAGGCAACTTACAGAGAGATGTCAGTAAATCAGGATGCAGGTGTGAGATCAGGCCTGGATATGTACAGGGCAGGAACTGGGAGCTCATGATGACCAAGAGAAAGAATGTCCTGGGAAGAAGAGCAGCAGGTGCTGAGGAACAGAGCAAAGCCTGGCCTTGACTGTTAGACGTGGCTGTATTTTGAAATCGTCTAGTTCTGGGATTCTGTCTATTCCTTGGCAGTACACATACAAGGACTTCGTCCAGCAGGCACTAAAGTTTTAGGAGGATTTCTCTGTCCCTCCATCATATTTTTCTTAATAGGAATCTAAATAATAAATCTCAAACTCTGCTGTAATACAAAGATATGTAGCTCTGTTTCATCTCTCTACCTTTACCATGTCTGAATTTTGCAGATTTTTTTTTACAAACTTTGCATAATTATACTGATTATTATGGAAAGATGTTAGAGGCAGCCATAAGAGTCAAAGGTGGCATGAGAGAGCAGCTCAGTGGCACTTGGACTGACAGCCACCAACACACTTCTCTGCAATTGTGCCATGTGAGGTTGCGTCATGTCACCAAGTTTCCTAGGCCCTGGTCAGCACAAGGACTCGCCCTCCTCCCTCCTGAGAATGGGAAACAGCCTATGGGCACCTTAACTCCCTCCTCCAGATGTAGAGGGATTGGGACATTGTCACAAACCTGTCTCTAGCTACTTGGGAAAAGAGGAGACAGAACTTTGACATCTACTTTAAGGAAGGGCCAAACCTCAGTCAGTTCCAAAGGCCTGAATGAGAATTTAACTTCTAGCCATGTACTAAAATGTTTTTCATTTACTTGGCTAAAAATTTGTTTCATGGGATAGGTACAAAACCCTGACCAATGCACTTTTTGGTGACTTTTGTTCCTGACCTCCTTTCTGAGCACAGAGGAGAGGACAGTTTCAATACCAGCAGAGGACTGAGCATACGATGGGTCAACCCTCCACTTATCTTTTCAGACAAATGCTGGTTCCATTAGTCTTTCCTCACTGCACCATGGCAGGAACCTCCCACCCTACGTGGATAAGGCTCAACAGGTTATCTGTCCCCAAACAAGCCCAGTTGGTCCCTGTGCCTGGTGACAGCATTGACGTCAGCCCTTGTGGTGGAGGAATTAGTTGAAGCCCAAAGGGAAAAAGAAGCCAAAAAAAGAAAAATTCAATCCAGCAAGACCAAAGCCATTTCTTTTTATTTTGTGAGCTCTCAGCAGCTGTTAAGCTTTGCTGGATTTCGATAGTAAGAAAGTTTCCAAGAATAGAACAGTGCAATGTCAGAGTTAATGGGATCACAGCAATAAAATAGCTCTACTACTGATAAATCTGATGGCATTAAGTTAATGTGGAAGTTGCTTTGTACCCTGCACACAGAGTGGACTCCTTGCATACCCTCCCATCCTGAGTGTGCCCCCAACACACCTATTCTGAGGGGAAAGCAACCACTTCTGAAGTGGTAAATACTTTGTAAAAGAGGTGTCTTCAGGCCAGGCACGGTGGCTCAGGCACTTTGGGAGGCCAAGGCAGGTAGACTACCTGAGGTCAGGAGTTCAAGACCAGCCTGGCCAACATGCTGAAACCCTGTCTTTACTAAAAATACAAAAAGTTAGCCAGGTGTGGTTGCCACTGCCTGTAATCCCAGCTATTCAGGAGGCTGATGCAGGAGAATCACTTGAACCCAGGAGGCGGAGGTTGCAGTGAGCCAAGATCGTATCATTGCACTCTAGCCTGGGCAGCAAGAGCAAAACAAAACAAAAACAAAAACAAACAAAAAAAAGGTTTTTAAAGAAATCTTCTTTATCCAGACCACGGAAAATAAAAGGTTTAATCAAAGGCCTAGCTTTGTTAGGTGCATCTTATTGCAATTTCTTTAAAATGTCCAGCTTCTTGCTAACAGATGAAAAAAGGGAAAGGGTGTCTGAGTTCTCTGAATTCTCTCTCCTGAGCCTTGCCCTCACCTCCATCCCACATCCTGCATCTCTGTGGCAGTTTTCTTTCTATTCCTCATCTGAGGATGACAGAGCCATTCCCCCTTCATCAGTGCCTCCCCATCCACAGAGCAAGGAATGAAACTACAGCAGCTACCAGTATTTCTTCAAAAGGGACTTCCCCTGCAAATGTAAGAACTTGAAAGAAATCCTATACGCAGAAATGAGAATCACCACCATATTTGATGACTCAGCAAACATTTCTTTCCCTGTCTCTCTTTGGAGGGTGTCTTTCATTCAGAATTGCAAAGAGTTCCTAAAGGAAAGACAACATTTGAGAAACCCTGGATGCAGTCAGCTCAGACATTGTTAACTGGAACTCTTGAGTGATTTGATATTCTCTCCTGAACAACCATGAGAACACCAGAATGGAAGCTGGTGGCTGGGAGTGCCATAGAACCCATCCGGGATTCCTTCCCTCCTTTCCTTTATGCATTCTCAACTTCCTTCCCTCTATTGTTCTCTACCTGCACTGTCACCATTTCTCAGAAAAAAAAAAAAAATTATGCAGAATGGAGGAAGGGAGAGGGCACTATTATGTGTGCACCAGTGTCCTCGTGGGGCCACAGCCTCCTGCTGGCAGTTCTATGTAACCATGGCACCCAGACACAGAAGCACTGAGAAGTACCTGGGGTTGATGTGTACATATGCAGATTCCACTAAATCAGAATTTGCAGGGTTCCATCCCCATACTGGTAAACTTTTTTTTTTTTTTTTAATAGACAGAATCTTGCTCTATGGCCCAGGCTGGAGTGCAGTGGCACGATCTCAGCTCACTGAACCATCACCTCCTGGGTTTAAGTGATTCTCGTGCTTCAGCCTCCCGAGTAGCTGGGACTATAGGCATGCATGCCCAGATAATTTTGTTTTTTTAGTAGAGTTGGGGTTTCACCATGTTGACCAGGCTGGTCTTGAACTCCTGACCTCAGTGTTCCACTCACCTCGACCTCCCAAAATGCTGGGATTACAGGTATGAGACATTGTGCCCAGCCTAAACTCTTAAAAAAGAAAAAAAAAAAGCTCTCAGTTTATTGTCAGATGTTTCAGAACCACTGCTAAGAGACACCCCCAACCAGAGCTGCCCACCCTGACCCAGAGCCTTTGATACAACCCTTGGATAAAGTTGGTTTGATGTAGGTTTCTCTTCTTAGCAATGTCTGCAGATTATCTTTTTCCTGGGGACATGGATAAAAATGCCAAAATATTTTAGGGAGAAAGGAACCCGTATAATTAAATGAACGTACTTAGCATCAATTCATACAGCACTACACCATATGTGTGTAGTATGCAACTTCCCTGTGGATTACAGCATAGCTGGGTTAGTTGGAACAACTATCAATTCTTGCTCCATAAGGCAGGACAGCAAATAATAGCATGAGTGATCAGGCAGGCATCTCCTTCATGGTTCCCCTTGTATCCCTGCTCCTGTCACTGTCTCCTCCTGTATCAGACTGGGCCATACCAGCTCACTTGTGTCAGAAATTCAATGCTTGTTGATGCAGTTCTCCCTACCTATGATTTCACCACTTTTAGACTTTAAACACAGAGTCTTTATCAGCCATGCTTTAGTGGCTGTGGCTGCTTCTATTTCTCTGTACTATAATATGCAGGGAAACACTGAAGCTGTAACACTGTATTTCTGTGAAATATTTGCTGTCCCGTACCTAGGAAAGCCTTTACTCCATATAGCATGATGTCGAGGGCAAGGGTTGCCCAATAAAGACTTCTCTGAATCTTAACCAAATAAACACACCTTCAGCAGGGTATGGCTGTGTTTGTTTGCTAGGATTGCCGTAACAAAGTGCCACTAACCGCCGGGTGCGGTGGCTCACACCTGTAATCCCAGCACTTTGAGAGGCCAAGGCAGGCGGATCACCTGAGATCAAAAGTTCAGGTCCAGCCTGGCCAACATAGTGAAACTCTGTCTCTAATAAAAATACAAAAATTAGATGGGCGTGATGGTGTGTGCCTGTAATCCCAGTTACTGGGGAGGCTGAGGCCTGAGAATCACTTGAACATGGGAGGGAGACGTTGCATGAGATCACGTCACTGCACTCCAGCCTGGGCAACAGAGCAACAATCTGTCTCAAAAAAAAAAAAAAAATGCCACAAATAGAGTGGATTTTACTGCAAAAATTTATTGGCTCACCGTTCTGGAAGTTAGAAGTTCAAATTAAGGTGTACACATGGCAATGCTCTCTCTGAAGGCATCAGGGAAGGATCTATTACTGGCATCCCCTAGCCTTCCTGAGACCCTATAAAATGCTCCTCTCATTTTCCAAGCAGACCCTGCCCCAGTATCTCTTTTGAAATCCCTCCCTTTTTCTCACTTGCATTATTCTTGCTTTTCAGGAGAGAAGTATGAGCTCCATGCAGGGACTGAGTCCACCCCAAGTGTTGTCGTGCACGTGTGCGACAGTGACATAGAGGAAGAAGAGGACCCAAAGACTTCCCCAAAGCCAAAAATCATCCAGACTCGGCGTCCTGGCCTGCCACCCTCCGTGTCCAACTGAGCTGCCTGCTCTGCCTCGACGATAATAGCCGTCTCCTCTTTATCATGCTTTTTCCCCTGTTTGTCAAAAAAAAAAAATTGCCTTTAAATTCCTGGGTGTTTGGTTGTTTGAGATTTCTTCCTTGTTATCAAGCCTCTCGGACAAAAGGGCTAGGAAAAGGTGATATGTCTCCTGATCATATCATACCCATTAAGTATAACCCATTATTTAGAAGGTTCTAGGGAAAAAAGTAGTATTTTTCTTATTAACCAATCAGCACAGCCTGTATCTTTGTTCTCTCATGTTGATCCAAACCAGAGACATCAGTAACAAATAGCACCTGTGTTGTTTGTGAGCTGTTTCAGTCCCAGTCCTGAAATGTGTGCGTTGTTGTTTCCTGGCCACTTAAATAGGACCATATGTAAACTTGACTTTGACTGCATGAGATATCCCTATCTGGTCTCACTCAGTCCTCTGCATCCCAACATTCCCAGGACATGCATGATCACCAGCATTTATTTTCATGATTTGAAGATATCCTATAACTCACAGATTGTCAGCAGCCAGCCATGTCCTATCTAGATTAGGAAAATTATCAGCATATTCCAGCTCAACCAGTCTGGGTATATTCACTATTGTGAGTCAATACACCATAGCTCTGTTGAAACTCCCGGAGGCAAAATTGAGCTTGGCCCCAAAGATATTCCTCAATAGATTTTGAACTCCGCTCCCCTGTAGAACTTTCCCAGCCTCACTGGGGAGGCTTGTCCAGGGTGATAGAGACCGATTTCAGACGAACCTATTTATTACAAAAGTTTCATGGTGTCTGAATGATTGTTTTCTCTCTTTGTATATTTGTACAAATGTTTCAGCTGTGCTTTTAAAATCTGGATTTTTTTAATTTAGTGATTGTTCAACCTTTAGCTGCTTCAAAACATAATGTGCATTGCTTATGAATGCCTTCATATACTAATACAGATACTCTGATAATATTACACTCTAGTATGGATAACGCTGAGTTTTGAAAGGACACAAAATATCTAATGCCAATATATACAGGATTAGCCAACATCTTTGCTATCAAGACCACTTGTTTTTAAATAAAGATGCAAGTGTCAATTGTAGGTGATTGGGATGAAGCTAAAACTCCAGAATGCAGCAGCAGCATCTGAGCATGTTAAAATGGGGAAGTATAATAGATACATGTATGCCAGTCCTACTCACGCAATGCTCAGACAAGTTACTTGTTTTTGTTACGTGTAATTTTTCTATTTCTCTAGCCCAAAGTGCATTACAGAAGATACACCTATAGAACCATTACTTTCTGCTATATGTGCCAGGCCTCATCTACTCCTGTACATTAATGAATTACTTTAGATGCAAATGCAGATTACAGTGGAGTGGGGAATTACTTTCATTACCCAAGCCTCAGAAAAACACAGAAGAACAATAACACAGCCAACAGATTGAGGGATTGTTGTGGTTTTTGACTAAGGTGTATGTTAGTTTCATCAGAGACTTAAAACATAGACTGATCACTCAGAAATTAAAGTCCGTTTTACTGTGAATATAGCAATATAGTACTGGACACAGTACAGGTGAAACTGAGGAGAGCATTGCTTGTAAAATCCTGAGTTTCCATAGGGAAAATGAAAACTCCTTTTAAAAATAAAATCTGAGGAGTGTACAATAAGCATATGCTTTGACTTTCCTTTGCTGTGGAGGATTTTGGTTTTTCATTGATGATGAAAGACTACAGACTTAATAGTGGAGAAATGGTGTCCTCTAGTGGAAGAAATAGTAGGCTCAGCTCTTCAGATGCAGAGCACTGTAGCAGCCAGCCTTTCCCAGCTGACTCTTCTTAGCCATCTGTGGGGTCATTTGACATTTTAAGCTACCCTGAATTTCCAGAATGCAGGTTATAAAAAAAATCTAGGTGAGAGAAAATGTTTGAAAATGATTTTTAAAAAGACATGTCTGACATTTTTAACAACTTAGTAAAAGTTGAAATGACCATTTTGTGTAGTCATAAAAGAAACGCAGTGAAGTGTATGACCTCTGTAGTTAGTAAAACTTATTGCCCTGTGTCAATGTTAACCTGTTTCAGATCAAGTAATTCTTTCACTATGTTGGGTTTGGGGCGGGGCAAAAAGAGGGGCTTTCCTTAGGAGAACGATAAGAAATGGAAAGGCTCCTTGAAGTGTTACAATGGAACCTCCTAGCACTGTGAAAGTCAGAATCGCCTCAGCATTTCCATGACGCACATTATGCAAACCTCTTTAGCACTATTTTCAGCTTGAAAAGTTTAACAATGAAGGGGGAGGGGAAAATTTCCACCAACTGAATCATTTGTGCACGTGTATAGCTCAACGAGCTTAAACTTCAAATATATCTGGTGAATGACTCTTTGTCCATGTGGTGTAATTTCTGTGTTGTCGAACTGAGTTGAGTATTCTTAAGGGGTAATTGTGGAGGACTGCTTTCCAACCTAGAGTTTTTCTAAGAAGTCCCCAACATATGGGGTTAACCCATACACCTAGGTTCTTCCTGAAAGTGGGGTAAGATGGTTGGCAGCCATCTCTTGAGGGAAGGGGGATTTGAGCACAGCCTGAAAGGCTGGGTTGGCCTTTGATGAGAGGAACTGGGAGAGCTCCCTGTATTACTTCTGTGTTTCAACATCTTGGTTCTAAAAGCCATTTCAAGTGTACTAAGAAACTCTTTTAATGTCTTCCCACTCTATTCTCTTGTTAAAAACACGGTAAGAGACCTGGGTTGGCAAAAAAATTATTATTCAGGAAAAAGCACTATCATAATCTAAATGATTGATACATTAAATTTCATTGAAATAAATAGCTTCTGTTCATCAGATGGCTATTAGGAGAATGAAAAGGAACAGCATCATACTGGAAAAGGGTATTTGAGATATATGTAGTTGTCAAATAAATTATATCCAAATTTTTTTAAACCCTACAAATCATTAAGGAACACATAGACAATCCATTGCCTTTATCATCAATATAATTTCAAAGGCACTTCACACATACAGGCAATTCACACACACGCGCACACACACACAGACATACACAAAATGCCCAGATGATCCATTAACATTCAAAAGATGCTCAACTTCATTGCTGATCAGACAAAAGCAAATGACAATCTCAGAGATACTCCACAGAGCTATCGGAATAACTACAATTAAGTCTGGGGAAAAATTAAGTCCTGGTAAGGATATGAAGGAAGAGGAACTGTCATGCACCCCAGATGGAGTGTCACCTGGTACTGCCACTTCACAGCACTGTTCTGCTAAAGCTAACCTGCCTCTCTGGGAGCAATTCCACTCCAGGGTATGCACCTGGCAGATAAGAGTGCTCACATCTATCAGAATACTTCTACAATAATGTCCCTAGCAAAGTTGTTTGGCATAGCCATCAACTGGATACAACCCAAATGTCCTTCAACTGTAGAATAAACTGTGCTATCCTCACACAAAGGAATGTTACAAAGCAGTAAGACACATAAACTAGTGGTACATATAGGAACGTAAATGGATCTAAAAATCATATTTTGAGCCAAAGAGAAAAACTAGACATGAAATACATAATGCATGGCTCCTTTTAGCAAGCTAAGAAACAGTCGAAAGTGGCCAATATGAATAGAAAGTGATAATAGTGGGTGTTATGAAAAAAACTTAGGACTGTAAGGTCCCCTATCCCTACCCCCAAACTAAGAAGGTGCTAAGAGTCCAAAGAATGACTCAGATAAGTCCAATGTGAGGAGCAGATGAGTTTATTAGGACTTACATACAGGGCACTTCTGGATGGTGGCAAGATAGCGCTAGAGACCTGTTCTGCCTTCCATGCCTAAACTGCTTTCAAGCTAATTTTCTGGCTCTTTGCCTACTGTGTTTGAGCAGTGAGACTGTTTTTGTTGGTAGGTCCTCAGATACTCTCCAAGATATTTGGGTTCTCAGGGACACCTGTTCCTCAGATCTGCACCAGGGTCTTGGCTCACTGCCTGGCCTTCCAAGTTCAGGCAGCAGACTTACACCCTTCAGTAACCTGGTGGGGGACCTGTCACACTACGGTGGCCACCTTTTGGAAGGCACTGAGAGAAACCCTCTCATGTGGAAGCCTTCCGGGGTGCCATAAATATTCTACATCTCGATCTGAATCTCCATATGGATGTATACACATGTAAAATTTATTAAAATATGTGTCATATACTACAGTCAGTTATACCTTAACTAAAACAAAAACTGTTCTCCCTGAAAACAGAGAAGAAGGAATCTTTAGTTGTGACGGGGGTTTAGAATGTCCTCATACTAAAACGTAAGTCTCCCATCTTATGTCTGTGAGATATTTCCATATATTCAAAGGCTTCATTTAAAATCTGTAAATCAGTATGCCTTTTTAAAAGAGAGAGCACAGGACTTAGGCGTCGGGTGAAACACTGTTCATTCAAGTAGCAAATTGTGTGCCTGACACTGGATTTTCCGTGGTGAACAAGGTAGCTTTTGTCTCTGCCATTTCAGGGAGTGGAGTCCAGCATGGAAAAGAGATAAGAAATAAGCATATAACGGCCACAGATTCTCATAGGTGAGTACAGAGAAGAAAACCAAAAGTACCCTATGAGAATAGAGAATAAAAGTGGAGGATCATAGTCAGGGAAGGGCTGTCTAAAGAGGTGACATTTAAGCTGACCTGGAGGCACTGGTTACAGAAGTGCTGCTAGAAAAGCATTCCAGGCAACAGGGCTTGAAGGCCGTGACTCTGGAAAGGCCTCCTCTCATCGCTAGGCAGAACCTATTATTAAGAGATCAGGCTAGGGGGCTTGAGGTTCATTTTAAGGGTTTTCAACAAGGGAATTGTATGACCCAATTTATCTGGTAAATCCTTTTTTTTTTTTTTTTTTAAACCTACAGCACTCGGTATTCCCAGGCAGTCTCCCATCCAAGTGCTAACCAGGCCCGACCCTGCTTAGCTTTCAAGATCAGACGAGATCGGACGCATTCAGGGTGGTATGACCGTAGACTGCCTGGCAAATCCTAACACAAACAAGAAGTTTCCTAACACAAAGCCACAGCCCAAAATGTCCAGATACTCTGTAGCGTCAGGGCTCGACCCCTCTTACCCATTTATAGCTTTCAGTAGCTTCATGCTCCTCACTGAAATCTTATGTATTAACACCAAACGAATTCTCAGTATCCAACATCAATATGTAGTGTCTTGTTGTGGTTCTGAAGTGTTTTTTTTTTCCCCTCCCCGCATCATTTAGAAAGCCTCAGTACAGAAAGGTGGGGAACAGAGCAGGTGATAAAGAATGATGTCAGCGATTCAGGGAAACATTCATTTAGCTGCTGGTACAGAGTGTCCCTGCCAGAAGCCACCATGCTGAGCGTCATTGAACATTTGGCAGCGTTTCGCCTTAAATTTATGCAAAGAGAAAGGGAAAATTTCAAGCAAAAAAGTTTTCTGTCAAGCTCATTCATCTGCACCTTTCAAAGAAAGTCTGGGGGAATGTTATTGGAATTGATTCATGAGCTTTTTATGTCTCTAAAAGGAAGCCATGTTTAAGGTTAGTCGTGTGTATGTGTACGCAAGCACATTTGGCATAGGGTGGAAATAGGAAACCCAAAATAGGCAGAAATGGATGAAACACTTTGTGCTAAAAATTTCACTCACAGTAGTTCCTTGGTTCTTTCATGTTATTTTCCATTCTTACCTAATAATTGAGTTAGAAAACTTTCAGGGTTGGGCAGGACTACGGGGCCTCCTTGATCAGTTGCCATCATCAGGAAAATCATTACTGTTCCCTAAACAGTCTTTGGATTTGCTAGTGGGGTATTTTATCCTTAAAACAAGATTTATAGTTTCCCTACAAAGTTGCCAAGTTCAACACCTTGAGAATCCATCAGATGTGCTGTTGTGGATGCTGTAGTGAGTCCCAGCTCCCCACTTCGGATGGAGTAGCCAGGCATTGCATTCAGCTAGGGAGATGCTCCACACCCAAGGTCTCACCCTCCTTGGGGACAGACTGCATCCAGTGACTAATCAAGGAAGGCCTTCCCTTGGACCACTCCAGCTCCAGAGCTATCCCTGTGCCATAGGCTGAGGCTGGTATCTTAGTTCAACTCTGCTCTAACCTACTGCCTTTATCCCCAACAGGTGAGGACTCTAAAGTCTCCCAGTTTAATTTCCTGCATGTACATCTCCCTCTCGGAGCCTGGGTCCTGGAGAAACAAGTCTAACACATACATCATCCTCAATAGCCTTCTTTCATCACGTTGAGCACTCTGGAATCGTAAAACTCTTTTTCATCAATCATTGCTGTCTCATTCTTCATATGGATTGGTTATGCTAGGGGTTAGCAGCTTTTCCAAAAGCAGCATAGAAAAGTTCTTCATGCTTTCTCTGTGCTGTCCTGCTGAGTTTAGGTGGGGGATAGGTAGGGTAGACATGTAGGTAACTTGGCACAAAGTTCCTCAGTGGAGAAAGAAGGTTTCTCCCAACCATCCCTGTGGTGTGAGGAGGACAATGGATACCTGTTCGGCTATTGTCAGGGGACTTCATGAAAAACATAGGTCTATAACAGGGAGGGCAGAACCCAAATTCTGGCCCATGTGTCTCCTTAGCCCGTATCAAAAGATGTCACCACTTCCTGTCAACCTTGTGTATGAGAAAGGGATGGGGACTGTGTGTGTGACTTTAGACAAGTTACTAAAGTCCCTACAACTCAGTTTCCTCTCCTGTAAAATGGGTGTAAAATCTACCTTTATCATGAGGACTTAATAAGATAATAACAGTAACAATTATTATTGGACGGCTAGTTAGTGGCTACATTCACAAGTTTTACTGCCACAGGACCTGGGCTTAAACCTCAGCCCCATTGCTTAGTAAACTTGTGTCTTGGACAAGCTTTTTTAACCTAAGTTTTGGTTTGCACGTGTATCAGATGTAAAGGTTGATAGTACCTGTCTCACAGAGTTCAGAGGGATTGAATGAGAAACAGCATCAAATGCTGGGTACATAGGAAGTCCTCTCCCAAAGCTCTCTATGCATCAGGCCTCACACTGAGCATCTGGAATTTATACCCTCAGTCTCCATGAAGGCACCTCCATTGTTCCCATTCCTCAGAAATAATAGTCAACATTTGAGTGCTTACACCGTGTCAAGAGCTCTTGTAATTTCTTTACACTCTAATTCTCTCCACGATCTTATGATAAAAGTACTGATACCCACATTTTACATGTAAGCCAACTAAAGCAAAGAAAAGTTAAGTCCTTGATACTGAAAGTATATTCTAGGCACTGCAACATCTGCATCTGCATCCCCAGGGAGCTGGTTTAGAGACACAGAGTCTCAAGCGCCACCTCTGACCTACTGAAACAGAATCTGCTTTTTAACAAC